TCATTCCCTTTAAAATTCAATTGAAAACTGGACAGTTTTCAGAGATTATCTCGTTCCAGTTCAACAGATCGGAATCAAAATGACTGCCACCAACCTCAAGAACACGTTCCATGAGCATCGGTTCGGTGAGACCATGATAATAGAAGGGCTCATTCCAAATTGGTTTACATGTTTCCGCGAGGACCGCTGACTGCCGTCTGCTTTTTTCGCTGAAACCAAAATAGATTTGCCAACAAACTAAACATTTTAATGCATCGCTCTTATCCCTCTCAACAAAGCATACTTCAATCACTCATCCGAATTTCACTTATAATGAAGAAAATCCATGGCATCATCGAATGCCATGTGACGATAGTCACAACTTGATATCGACGAAATACAGACAAGAAAAAGATGGTCTTTGGTAGCATAGATAGCCGTGCTAAGAAGTTAGCACGATTGAAAAGTATCCGTAAATTCTATGACTTAATCATATTGCAAGCTACATAGGGTATTGTGAGTCTGTTCCATGAATATTAGGAATCTGTTGACAACATCTAATTTCTGCTACTAAAAAATGCTGAAAAAAGTGATCAAGAGACGCGAACAATCTCGCTGAGGTCATACCTTCGATCGGGAAGGAGAAACAATTTCACATAGGGATTACGGGACATTCCATCGGGTCGTGGCGGAAGATCAATCGCTCTATGAACTGTAACAACCAACTGACGGTCGGGCACTGAGTAGTAAAGTGAAATCTGCAATCGAAATTTTATCAGTGCATAATTTTATCGCTCACCACAAACATGAATCAGATCAAATCAAATAATCAGCAATCAAATCAAGCAATAATCAAACAATCAATATCCGAAATCAATCAAAAAATTCTTTCGATGGCGATCCGAAATGAATTTCTTAATAAAAGTCCTCATATTTCACATCACTTTCAGTAGAACTTTTCCTATAATTCGATAACTCACCTCAATTCTTCCAAAAATCTGTCCTTTCGCGAACGACCCACCACCGTACATCTGTTCTGATGGCGCAATTTTTTGGGCTCCTGCAAACAAAAATTCATAATTGCCACATTAAAAGCAAC